GGGCCACATGCAAATACAAATATTGTATTTGTTCCCGTTTTGTTTTTTTACTTCAAAATAAGATATGTGCAGTGTGCATAGGAATTTGTTCATAGTTTTTTTTTAAACTATAATCCGGCCCTCCAACGGTCTGAGGGACAGTGAACTGGCCCCCTGTTTAAAAAGTTTGAGGTTATAACATTCTTCTCCCCCTTTTTTGTTTTTATAGAAACGGTTTATATTGATGGAATTCTAAAAAAAAAAAAAAAAAGTTTGAGGACCCCTGTTCTAGACAAATGTCTTCTTTTCTGTCTGCCAGCCAAATGAAATCTTTCCCTCTTTTAGAGCTCCATAGTACTAATCTTTTTCTATCTTACAATATAGGCATGCATGTATTTATCTTATGTCCCTTTCCACTGTACTGGAATTTCCTTGAGGTAGAACTAGATTATTTTTCTTCTTTGGATCTCCTGTAACACCAAAATGTTAAATGAATTAGCACCTTTAAAATAGAAGATATAAGACAGAGAATCTTCTTTAAGGTCTGCATGTACAGATGAGCCCTCCAGAATATAAAATGAAAAATCGACTATTAATGAGTGATTCAAGCTGTAATCTGGAAATAAATGATCATACCTTTGGTTAATCATAGTCTTCCAGAATAATGAATTGAAAGTTAGATTTATTTGCTTGGTTGTGTAAATAAGAGGAAGTCTATGTAAATGAGACTATGGTCAAGATGTAAACATTTCTCCAAAGCTTGGGACTGAGTGTATTTAATCTGATTTCATCCCTTTGTTTGCAACCACTCTGTTTAAATGCACAACACTAGGTGTGGAGGATAATAAACTAACCTTTTGGGCAACATCAATCTAAAAAATGACTATTGTTCAGAATACCACCAAATTGTAGCTATTAGCTTTTGGTACTTGAGTCCATACCTTAAAAAGAAACAAAACAATATAAGCTTAAAAATAAATTGGACAGCTTTCTTTATTATCTCTCTTTCCATCCATGCCTGAAACAAAAGCGACTTTAACATGAATTGGTTTTATGAAGGCTGTGTTTCCAGATGCGTGTGATACATTTTATTGGTCTTATCTGTTTTCTCTAGTAATTTTCCTGTGGCCTTTTACCTGAATTCTTCTAGCCATGCTCCTTAGGAGGGCTTATGATGTTGCAGGCAGCCTGGTTTTTGAATCTTCCATCTGCAGATTAGTTCCAGTCCACCTCAGGCTGGAAAGACAGACTCTAGCCACTATGCTTCTTAGTTTGTTGTTGTTGTTTTTTGATTACAGGATAGAGAGATTGGAGAGAATATAAATGAATAAGTTTCTTGCAGCTGTGATCAATTTTAGAAAATGTCTTCACCATTGATGTAATTCTTTGGTTCATACTTTATAGTTACCAGAAGATACTACGTGCTGAAACTGACAAAGCTATGGTCTGAGTAGATAATAATATGCATTACTAATGATGACTGATTATGCAAACTGAGGAGCACAGTTTTATAACATCCAAAATCAAAGATGATATGTGGGTTTTTAATGAGAACTATTTAATTTTCTTTGAATATTTAAATAACAACAGAAAAAATTTATTCTAATTTAAATTATAATTGCAAAATTAAAATATTGAAAATTACTCTAGAAGTTGGAGAACTAAGGTGGCTATCTATCCTAGAAATTTGCCAGAGTATCTTCCACAACATTACCTCTATGAGAAACTGAGGGGGGAAGGGGAGTTCATGATCGAACGTGTGGTGGGACATGCACACATTGTATTACTCCTTTGTTATGTGAGAATTAGAATATCACAGGTGCTGCCATGACCACATTAGAGAAACCTGTTTTAACCTTGTTTAATCCAACTTTTCTTAAAATCACTTGTCTGGAGAGCATTTTATATATATGACATCAATTAACATCTGCAAAACTGTAATTCTGCAGAAAAAACCTGGGGAAATATTGCTTTAATACTTAGAAAAGCAAAGGTTTCAGTTATTTTGCAAATTTAATAAAAGATAAAACATGAATTGTCAACTCTGCTTGACTTTAGCCTATTCATTTGGCAAACATATCACTTTTTCACTGAAACACAACAAAATCTATGCTGGAAAATTAGTTATAGGTGATCACACTCATAAAAGACATTTTATTTAAATTTCTCACTAATTTGTTAAGGAATATAAATATTTAAAAGGGTAAATGTAAAGCTAATATGGAACCATAAGATAGACATATTATTAACATAGAAATATATATGAATTAGGTGCATATTAGATCATAACTTTTTTATACAGTTATCTGGGACTTTAAATTATCTTTTAAAAAACACATAACAAAATTTACCATCTTAATAATTTTTTAAAGCTTTTATTGTTGAAAGTATTACATTATGTCCCCTTTCCCCCCCACCTCCCACCTTCACCACCCTATTGTCTGTGTCCATGGGTTTTGCATATATGCATACAAGTTCTTTGGTTGAGCTCTTCCCACCCGCCCACCAAACCCCTGCCTTCCCTCTGAGGTTCAACACTCTGTTCCATGCTTCTGTGTTTCTGAATCTATTTTGCTCATCAATTTATTTTGTTCATTGGATTCCACATATGAGTGAGGTCATGTGATACTTGTCTTTCTCTGATTGGCTTATCATTTTTAAGTGTACAGTTCAGTGGTATTAAGTACATTTACATTGTTGTACTACCGTCACCACCACCATCCACAGAACTCTTTTCAATTTGCAAAGCTTGAAACTACCTATTAAACAATAATCCTCGCTGCCCCTGGCAACCACTATTTTACTTTCTCCATGATTTTGACTACTATAGGTATCTAATGTAGGTGGAATCATACACATTTTCTTTCTTTTCTTTTGAGTTGGTTATCCTTTTATCCACAGTGGGAGGTTCCTTGATCGCTTTTAGTTTGCATTAGTTTTTCTTGAGGACTGATGCATGTTAGTCCTGGGCTTTCATTTTACTGAAGTGCTGCCAGCACTTTATGTTCCAAAGTGTCTTCATTTTTCTCCTGCATTTTCCTATCTGGCTTCATTGGCTTCTAATGTCCAGTTTTGCTGATGCAAATATAATCAGATGGCATTGTGTACATTTTTTTTCCTTTGTAGGTGGCTTATCTTCCTTTCTGTGGAAACACTCAAGATTTTCTTTTTATGCTCAATATTCTACCACTTTACAATGATATATCTATGGCTATTTTTTTTTTTATGGCTGAGTATTTTTTCTAAATTGCTGTAGTCGGGACCTTTACATTTTTAGAGTCCTTTTACATTTGAGAAATTCTTTTTCCTGTGGCTGTTTTTCTTATCTCATTGAGCTTTGCTATACCCACAGTTATGTGCTCTTAGAATAATTCTTGTCTCTGCTCTTTCTTTTATAGAGACAATATTATTATAAATGTTATTATTATTAAAATTATAAAATTTAGCATGTTATTTGATTTTTTAAAGTCTATTTTTTCTAATCT